TTCTGATGACCAAGTGTACCACTAAAAATTAGAAGTTCTATTACTGAGGGAGATGGGAAAATAGACATAGGGTTATAACCAGCAACGTCTGCCACACCTACCTTCTAGCACAGCCGTGGGAAAACTACAGCCCGCGGGCCGGATCCGGCCCATTTGAAATGAATAAAACTAAAAAAAAAAAAAAGACCGTACCCTTTTATGTAATGATGTTTACTTTGAATTTATATTAGTTCACACAAACACTCCATCCATGCTTTTGTTCCGGCCCTCCGGTCCAGTTTAAGAACCCATTGTGGCCCTCGAGTCAAAAAGTTTGCCCACCCCTGTTCTAGCAGCATCTTCCTTAAACTAACCTGCCATTCTAGACAAACTCTCCCCTAGTCCATTTAAACATAAATTCTCTCAAACACTCCAACCCCCAGCTGTCTCTGTCCTTTAAACTAGAGGAACAGTCTATTTGGTAGCCAATCAGGTACTTATTTTGTAAGAGCCCTTATTAATGTGGTCATTTTTAAACTTTATCTTTACTGTTGACAGTATTACAGAGGTCCCCCTCCTTTCCCCCATTGACTCCCCTCCACCCCACTCCTGCCCCCCAATATTGTGGTCTTAATGATTAAAGCATTGTTTAAACTTTCCTCCTTGTCTAATCCTCTCAGCCAGTCCATATAAAAGTATAACGTATCACATATGTACATACAGTACATAATACTTGATCATGATAATAAACAACTATGTTACTGGTTTATATATTTAATATACATTGTATCATTATTTTAGAGTGTGCTCTTTTCACTTATGAAAAAACTCTGTTGTCAAACAGTATGCCCTGTTACACCGACAGCAACCTCATACATCTCATGTTTAATCCCTCTCTTGATTACATCATTTTCTCTTGTGCTTGATTTAAGCTCCTGTTGTTTTGTGCAGTAACATGCTGTAGCCTAGGAGCAACAGGCTACACTGTATAGCCAAGCTACGTAGCAGGCTATACAATCCAGATTTGTGTACATGCACTCTGTGATGTTTGCACAGTGACGAAACCCCCAAAGAAGCATTTCTTAGAACACATCCTTGTAAGCAGCACACGACTGTATTAAGGAGCTAGTTGGGCATGACACTGAACAATAAGAATTACATAGCTCTGGCTCTCTATATATTATATACATGTATTAGCATAAATGCAAGTACAGGAGAGATAAGCCAAGAACATTAACATATTTTCCCCTTACTTTTTCAGAGCAGCAAAGAGAGTAATCTTCTTACAACTGCCATGAAAAGTGGAGAAACTGATACTGTCCTTTTCTTCAAAGGAAAACTTTTCAGTGTATTAAATCAATTTGGGATTTTAGTTTGTATGTTGGATGACTTGGTCATGTTTACTTTGGGCAGGTTTCAGGCTTGCTGCTTTCATGTCAAAGGAAGACAATGTAGTAAATATGAAAAAAGATTTAAGAATCGGATACTTTATTTTATTTTTTTAATATATTTTATTGATTTTTTACAGAGAGGAAGGGAGAGGGATAGAGAGTTAGAAACATCCATGAGAGAGAAACATCCATCAGCTGCCTCCTGCACACCCCTTACTGGGGATGTGCCCGCAACCAAGGTACATGCCCTTGACCAGAATCGAACCTGGGACTCTTCAGTCCACAGGCCGACACTCTAGCCACTGAGCCAAACTGGTCAGGGCTCGGATACTTTATTTTATCCCAGTATCCAATTATCAATGAGTACTTATTATGTGACAAAACATGCTAGAGTGTACACTGCATAACTCTCCTCAACAACCACATGAACATAGATGTGACTATACTCTTTTTGCAGAAGAGGAACTAGAAGCTCCAAAAGGTTATTAACTAAGATGACACAATGGAAAGGAAGCAGAGCAGAATTCACATCTACCTGCTTCTGAGCTCATTCCCTTAACTACTAATCAGGGAGGCAACAGTGAATTCCTTTAGTCTGGCTTCATAATAAAGAGTACATCTATCTATATAATAAAAGCCTAAGTGACCATTAAGGCAGAACGACCAGAACGACTGGTTGCTGTGATGCACACTGACCACCAGGAGGCAGATGCTCAATGCAGGAGCTGCCCCCCTGGTGGTCAGCGTGCTCCCACAGGGGGAGCGCTGCTCAGCCAGAAGCTGGGCTCATGGTTGGTGAGCGCAGCGGCGGTGGCGGGAGCCTCTCTTGCCTCCACAGCAGTGCTAGGGAGCAGTGAGCTGAGCAGTAAGGAGCAGTGAGCAGGCGGGTGGTAAGGTACCAGACTGCGAGGGCTACCCCAGGGATCAGGCCTAAGCTGGCAGTCGGACATCCTCAAGGTGTCATGGACTGCAAGAGGGCACAGGCAAGGCTGAGGGGAACCCCCCCTCAGTGCACAAATTTTTTGCACCAGGCCTCTAATATATATATAAAAGCCTAAGTGACTGTTATGACTGAATGACCAGAACGAATGGTTGACCAGTCGCTATGACGTGCACTGACCACCTGGGGGCAGATGCTCAACACAGGAGCTGCCTCCTGGTTGTCAGTGCGCTCCCACAGACAATCTCCCTCCCCCCCACCCCC